TGTGTCTCCCTTTCTCTGCTCCTCCCCCATTCATGCTCTATCTCTCTCTGTCTCTCAAAAATAAATAAACGTTAAAAAAATTAAAAAAAACATTTTGTAAATGAAGAGCCTTAGTCCCAGACTGGTGACATACTTTCCCAATCGTGGAAGCACTGTGTCAGAAAGAAGTTGGCCTTCAGACTTGCCTGGGTCTCCTTCACTGCTTAGTGGTTAAAAAGTTTAAAGTAGAATAATCCATGCAGCAGTGAGGGAAAACACCCCATCCCCCTTTGATACTTGGTAGAATTTACAACCAAACAGGCACAGATTTTGAGAGCCAAAGATTACCTTCACCTTACACCAGTGGGATGTTATTGGTAATCTGGGCAAGAAAATTCTTTCTTGGGGGAAAAAAAAAATAAAGCAAACAAAATTCTTCCTTGGGCAATACTGTTCCTAGCATTAGTTGACATTTAGTATCCCTGGAAGCTGCCCACAAAATGCTAATAAGACTCTTAATTTACTATTATGGTTCAATATATCCTCACAGTTCCAAATCCCACCTCTCCTGTATTCAGATGAAGAAGCTTACTCTCAGGGAGATGGAATCACTGCGTCACACAGGATTTCAACTCTGGCTTCTCTTTAGATTCACTCTCTGGTACTTTACAAAAATACCCGTGCCCTGACCCTGTCTCCTACCACATACATTGGAATATCTAGGGGTTAGAGCCAGGACCAGCATCTTTTAAGAGCTGCCAGGTGGTTGAAATGACTTGCAAAGTGGTTAAGACACTGGGCTTTGGTACCATCCTTTCTAGGTTCAAATCCCAGCTCTTCCATTTACTAGCTGTGCAACTTTGGACAAGTTGCATCATATCTGGCTGCCTAAGCTTTAAAATATTAGTGGTATTTACTTCACAGAATTGTTGTCAGGATTACATGAATTAATATGTGGAAAAGTGGTTAGCAAAGAGTAATAAAATGTCAGCTCTTATTATTATTATTACCGTTATTATTATCATAATAGATCCCGAGTCTCCTTATCCTTTACTGATGCTCCTTCCCCAAGATTTCACATATTTTTGGTGGTTTGCCACCACTACAACCCTTGGATGTGCAGATTGAGCCCGAATTCCACATGGAGAATAGGAGGGAGGAGCAAGTATGAAAGGGTCTCCATTAGGTACAGAAGATGGGGCAGGTAAGTCCTTCAGGTATTGAATTTCTTTGGATATTACCAGCCTTCTCCAGTGGGACAGAGGGCTCAGTGAACTGCCCTGCAAGGAAGAAAGGTTATTGACATCTATTTGAATGGGGTTGCTTTGTGAAGGACACAGCCTGTTAGCAGGGAAAGAAAGAGGGGCTTGGAAGTCAGACCAGGCCTCAAATTGTGGCTCTCTGCATCTTCCTAGCTGCATCTCCTAACATACCTAGTATATGTTACCTAAACTCTTTGAGTCTCAGTTTCTTTGGTGGAAATAAAACAACCTGCAATGCAGTATTATTGCAAGGATAAAATAAGGAAGTGTGTAATGCTCTTGGCATAGAGAAACTGCTTACTGACATTAGTTCCTTCCCTTCAAATGCTTCTTGGAAGCTGTTCCCACACGCTTCTCACTCTTTTCCTAGCCACCCTGGAGGCTTAAAAACAGGGGAGAGTTAAAGCATGCTATCTGGACTAAGAAATGCTCAAGGATTCAAGTGGCTTAGGATAACTGTTTAAGAGATAATGAGACTCTCCCAGATACCAAGAGGGAAAAAAGCAGGGAGAAAAAAAATTGCATAACTCATAAAAGCAATTTTGCTTCATTTACTTGTTAAACTCAATTATTCATTCCACTGCCAGTTTTTAACTGGGCCCACTCTGTGCAATATTATGGGCTATAGTCTGGAGAGAATAGAAAAGAATTTTTGACTTCAGCTCTGGAGCCTAAGCAAAATTCTTGGAAGAGGCCATCACTTTGGACATAGAGCTTAGAACTCAGAGTGTGCCAATGCCCAGGCCTTTGTGGGTGGGTCTAAATTTTGTGTTGAAGAACAGCCTGAAACTGGAATGAAGCAAAGAGCATAAAAAGAAATAATAACAGCTTGAATCCTTGATGTTTGTTTTCCAAATCCTTTGTCGTATAATATCCTATTTGATCCCAAAATAGTTCTAAGGACACAGCAATTATCATCTTCACGTTACAGAGAAGATACTGAAACTCCAAGAAGTTAAACTTATTTGCCCTGGTCATGCAGGACTACCAAGTAACTTCAGATTGAACATCAAATTTAAGATATCTGACTTTTTTAAAATGTTTATTCTTGAGAGAGAGAGAGAGAGAGAGAGCACGAGCGAGCAAGGGAGAGGCAGATGGAGGGAGACACAGAATCCGAAGCAGGCTCTAAGCTGTCAGCACAGAGACCGACGTGGGGCTCAAACCCCCAAACTGCGAGATCATGACCTGAGCTGAAGTCAGATCCTCAACTGACTGAACCACCCAGGCACCCCAAGATATCTGACCTTAAACCGTACTACTAGTATTCCTGAGCTTTATAAAACTGCATGAGTTGTGTCAGACACATTTTTTGTTTTATCCACCGAGTAACCCATGCCCCTAGGAACCATGGTGCCCATTTCTACTGTCATTGAACACACCTGAAGTCTGTCATTGACCAGCCCACATTCAGGAGCTTTATAAAATTGAGCTTTGTAAAACTGCATGGATAATGTGAAGACATTAATACCACTCATAAATATTTTCCCATTTATCCTCTGAAAAGATGAGAAAACTGCACTTTCCTGGCTCTTGAAGGCATGACCACGTGACTTGCGTTAGCAAATAAAATGTGGGCAAAATGATATGTGTCATATCTAGGTAAAAGCACTTAATTGCCAGTGAGAGATTATAGACCAGGAGGCAGCAAACTATGGCCTATAAGCCAAATCCAACCCACTACATGTTTTTGTAAATTAAATTTTATTGAACATAGCCACACTCATTTTTTTTATATATTATCTATGGCTGTTTTCATGCTACAAAAGACAGAGTTGCATAGTTGTGACAGAGATTTCAAGGTCCAAAAAAGCAAAAATATTTTCTATCTGGCCCTTTAAGAAAAAGTTTACCAACTTCTGTTCTAGAGAGTTCTTCCCTGCCAGGTCACCTGAAGAGTCTAAGTCTCCCAACAATACAGGTATTAGGTGGCAGAGACTCCTTCAAACTAGATTGTTAGGCTGCTGCATGAATAACAGTAGCCCTAGAGAGTTGTCTGGACACATTATAGACTTTCACATGTGTTAAAAAGAAGCCTTTGTTGTTTTAGGCAACTGAAATTTTGGACTTTTTTTTTTTTCACCTTGACATAATCTGGCCTCATCTGACTGATATACAAGTTAGTGAATGCTGGGGATAAAGGAAAAAATACACTGATTAAACTCTGTTAGGGTCAGGATGCATTGAAAAAGTTGGATATTGGGTGATGGAAATGGACATGGTAGGGGCGGATGGGTGTTCCTGCTTTTGGGACTGGCACATCCTGTGATTTTGAAATAGAAACTTCTGGGCCAGAGATTGTGGGTAAGTCTGCATTGTTGATAACTCTGCATACCAGGTTTAATGTCAAGGGAGTTTCCAGGTGAAACTCATGGATTAGAAATAGTCATGTTTCTGGGGCGCCTGGGTGGCTCAGCTGGTTAAGTGTCCAACTTCAGCTCAGGTCATGGTCTCACAGTTCGTGAGTTCAAACCCCACAGCCCTGTGCTGTTAGCACGGATCCACTTCCGATCCTCTGTCCCCCCTCTTTCTGCCCCTCCCCCACTAGTTCTCTCCACCCCCCTCAAAAAAAAAATTTTAAAAAGAGAGAAAGAAATAGTCATGTTTCCCGAAAAAGTTTTGTAAGTCAAGTTTCTGCATTTTGAGTGTTGATGCATTCAAGACAAGATGGGCTCCTGGTTACGAGCTGTTATATAAAGTAACCGCTCTACAGGAATGTTCTGCTTCTCAAGATCAACTATCTAACCTCTTACAATGGCTGATGCTCAACACTGAGTGACAGATTAATCCAGGTATCTATGTTGGAAGACAAGGTTTAATTGGTATTTGCACGTGATTCTAGGTTCCAGTGCAAACTAAATAGGGGCTGGCTGCATTAGTGGTTTTCGAATTCATGCAAGTGAGTAAAAAGGTTCACTCGACAAAGAAATGAGCATTTCTTTGACTTTTAAGTTCAACAAATCTCCAACTCAAAGGAATTTCTGTCAGGATACTAGAAGTGGATTTTTATATAATTTGAAGTAAACTCATCAGTTTTCCAGGGACACAGAGCACTTGGATGGAAGAATGATTTTAGATAATAATGTGTCCTGTCCTGTTGCATGTAACATGCTTAGAACTAAAAGGCCAAGGGCAAGGTGATTTAGACACAAGATCCTGAATGTGAGCTGGTCAACAACAGACTTCAGGTGTGTTCAACGACAGTAGGAATGGGCACCATGGTTCCTAGGGGCATGGGTACTCAGTGGATAAAACAAAAAATGTGTCTGACACAACTCACAGTGGCCCTCTCGTGGGGGCATTCAAAATATCTACCTTCTCTAACATACACTCCCAGACATTTTCCTGCCTCTAAGGTTGGTCTTAGAAAGGTATGGTCTCAGAAAGTACAGAATAGTTAAGAGGAGGGAGAGGATGTGAGTATATTCATTGGATAAGGCATAGATGAGGAGATATAAACAGGTGGAGGAATAAAATTGGCTCCAAGTGGATCTTGAAGAAAGGTTGCTATCAATCAGTAAAAACAGTGGTGACAGGGACCCTGAACAACCTAGTTAAGACACCCCACAGACAACAGTCCTTCCCTCCATACCTACACTGGTTTATAAAGAGAGAAACCACTCCTCACTACCAACATCCTAGAAATAAAAAAGAAAATAGCTCACTAATTGTTTATAACATACTACAATCTTATCTTAGTCTTAATAACTGAGAACAGCAGAGAATCAAGTAACTATCTTGTGTTACTCTTCTTTACAGAAAAATCATTAATAAACATTTCAGAAGACATGGAGAAATAAGACTCTGGATACTACCAGGGAAGACAACTAGAGATGCAAATTCTTGTTGAGAGAATAGTTGGGATATCTTGTAAATACCGTGGCCTTGCTAACACTCTATTAAACTCAGTTTGATAGCAACGGAGGGCTGCTTTTCTTCTTCTCTAATTAGGGTCGTCTTCCTAATTATTATAGAATATCACAAATACCCCCTTTGGGTCAACAGAATGTTCTCCCTACTTTCTTATATTTTATTAATCCACTTTCTTCTGTGCCTGTTCTGAGAATCTAAAATTAGATCATGCATTTGAACTTGGAGATTGCTGGTATCAGACCATAACTACTGAAGCCAAGTGGGGAGCAGCCTCAGGACAGTGGAATGAGGAGACCAAGGGCTTCTCACAGCATCTATTTGTCTCATGATTCACAAGACAATTCTTGAACTGCTCTGATTCGGGAGGGGCAGGTTCATGTGGGAGAGAGTAAGCACACCTCACTGCATACTTAATTTCATTAAAAAATGGGAAGCCAAACACACAGCAAAGGGGATGAGAGTCAGGAGGAAAGATCCGGTTTCTATGGCAACTGGAGGAGCACACGCATCATCACAGTGAGAGGTCTGAACTGGGGCAGGAGTGCTGACAGCTTCACCTAAGGCCTGTTCCCATGTTTTCCCTTACCTGGTGGGACCTTTATCAGTTGCCATGTCCCTAAAGTCTTGGCATGAATGGGTATCATGTACCCTCCTGCTAACAGTTAGGGATGGCCTGCCAATATCACGCAGATTTTACTCCTACAGAAGGAGACAGAAGATACACATTTTCTTCAGATTACTTACCAACTCAAGCATCTGGATTAGAGTCCCGGACTGTCACCCCTGTGACCCTGGGGATCCCTCTCCTCATTCTCAGCTCCTAAATGCTTACACACACACACACACACACACACACACACACACACACACACACACAGTGTCTCCACTCTGTGTACATCTATAAACAGCTGCACCCAAATGCATCACCCTCACAGGCACATCTTTTGGTGTTCCCCACAGGAAGCACCCAATTCCTCACAGGGAAACCTTTTCAGGCCTCAGCCCATTACATCATAAAATCACCTTTTTTGTAGCAGATTCTTTAAGTCAGCAACCTCAATCCAGGCTGCACTTAGAATCACCTATGGTAGCTTAAAAAAATGTTCTGATGCTCAGATTCACCTCTAGATTTGACTCAGTATGGTGCCTAAGCATCAGTAGTTTTCAAAACACGTCCCCCCAGGGTGATTCTAATGTGTAGCCAGAGTAGAGTACATTATAGTAATTCAATCAGGGTCAACGTACTTATCACTATCTGTGTGCTGGGCACTGGGTTGTATTTTAGAGATCTGAAGATGAATAGGGCAGAGTTCCCAGTCCACTGGTGGAAGACAGACATAGAGACAAATAAGTACATGAAGTATTTGTTGTGTGGGTCCTAGGCTGGTCTGTACGAGTTAAGTGGGGGAATGTGAGCGCTTGGTTCTATTTAGAGAGGGTCAAGAAAAACATTATAGAAGAGAGGATGATGCCAGACATCAATATGAACAGATGGATAGAGGAGCAGTGTGACAAAAGGCACAGAGGACATAATATGAGAGCTAGAGAAGTTGTTACCACTGACATGCAGGGTTTTGTGAGTAGAGATGAATCTGGATTTGTGAAATTTAAAACACATCAGAAGAAAAGATGCAGGTTAAAGTATGGACATAGAAATGAATTAAAAAATACAAAACAAAACGAAACAAAAAAACCAACACAAGAGATATAAGGAAATGGTATAAAGGTATAGCATGAATGTAACTGGAATCTCAAAAAGGAGAAACAGAGGAGTGGGGAAGAAGCAACATTTGAAGAGGTGATGGCTGAGATTTAAGAAATTGATTTAAAAAACAACAACAACAACAACAACAAAAAAAAAAAAACCCAAAAAACAAAAAACAAGCCACAGATTCAAATACTATGAATCCCACCCAGAATAAATACAAAGAAAATAAATCTAGATCTATCTGAGGAAAACTGTTGAGAGAGAAAAATGGGAAAAAAAAATATTACAAACCAGCCAGGGGAAAATAAATATCTTCTTCAAATGAGTAAAAATAAAACAGGTAGCTTATTCAACAGAAAACAAACAAACAACAACAGCAACAAAAACATAAGCCAGAAGTGATACGCGCCACGAGTTAAAAGAAAATAACTGTCTAACAGACTCCCCTAAAAATAATAATAAAGCTCTTCAGAGAGAAGGAAAATTATTCCAGATGGAAGCACAGAAATGCAAAATGTAGGAAGAACAATAGAAAAGGCAAATAAATGAGTGAAAACTAATAGTGTAAAACAATAGTAACACATATTATAGAATTTCAAAAATACATTGAATTAAAACACACCAATAAAAGCACATAAGTTGGAAGGGGCTAAGGTAAATGGCGTTAATATATTTAAAGTTTTTATATTGTTTGGAAAGTAGTACTAATTTACGTTGGATATTTAAAAATCAAGGCTATTTGCTGCAAAATGAAGATAAACACTAAAAGAATAATAAAAGAAGGGGGAGCCTGGGTTGCTCAGTTGGTCGAGCATCCTACTTTGGCTCAAGTCATAATCCCGCAGATTCTGAGTTTCAGCCCCACATTGGGCTCTGGGCTGACAGCTCAGAGCATGGAGCCTGCTTCGGATTCTGTGTCTCCCTCTCTCTCTCTCTGCCCCTTCCCTGCTCATGCTCTGTCTCTCTTTCTCTCTCAAAAATAAACATTAAAAAATTTTAAAAAAATAAAAGAATAGTAAAAGAAGGAGTATGCTTGCAAGCTGAAGTGGAGAGCAGGCTAAAAGATTAAAAATCCATGAGTAGACATGAAAAAAAAAAGGAAAGGAAAAATATATGACACGCAACAGATAGATGATAAATTTAAACTCAAATGTATCTGTATTATATTAATTCTGAACTAAGTTTTTCAGTTTTAAAAGACAATACGATCAGAATGAATGAGAAAAATAGAATGGTATGTGGCTTGTAAGAGAAACATCTTAAATACAAGGATCGAAAGGTTTGAGAGTAAAAAGAAAAACTACCCCCCAGATGTTGATTTAAGAAAAATGAAAACATTTATTCACATAAAGCCTTGAACACGAATGTCCACCATGTTTTATTCATAATAGCCCCAAACCAGAAATGGTTCAGATGCCCATCAGTAGAAGAATCAATGAAGAACTATGAATGCACAATGGTATACCTCTCAGCAATAAAAAAGAACAAACAACTGATACGTGTAATAAAAAAAGAATAAGTCTCTAAAACATTATGTTAAAGAAAACAGACATGAAAAAATAAAAGAAAAATATATGATTATTTCAGTAGATGCAAAGCACTCCATAAAATTCAACACCCATTCATGAAAAAACTTATAGAGGACTAAGAATAAAGGGAAATATATTTAATATGATAAAGAACATCTACAATAACTTACTACATATTTAAAGGACATATAAAGAAAGCTTGCCATCTGAGATGCTGAGCAAGACAAAGATATTTACATTTATGGAAGTCCTGGACAGCTAAGAAAGGTAAGAGAATAAATGTATTAGACTCAGAGAATAACAAATTAAATGTTTTGATTATGTATGTAGAAAATACAAAAGAATTACTAACTACTATATTAAATTAATGAATTTTGCACAAGCAGTCAGAAAATGAAGTCCAAAACATAGCACTAGTCATGACAGTATTAACAAGGTCAAATAATAGGGCAAATCTGAAAAAGATGAGTGAGAATTCTATGCAGAATACTATATACAGTTTTGCTAACAGAAAATAAAGACATAAATGAAGGAAGGATATACATTTTCATAGATTAGAATATTCAATATTGTAATGACATCAATTCTCCACAAATGGATCTACAGACTCAGTGCAATCTTGATTGAAATCTCAAAAAGTTTTGTTTGTGTGTTTGTTTTGGACAGGCCGATCCTAAAATTTATTTTGAAAATAAAAAGACCCAAGAATAGCTAAGAAACTCTTTTTGGTGGCAGTTGACAAGGTAACTCTATTTTCATACTAAAAACCCAGTGGGCCATGAATAGCCAGGAAAGAAGAAGAAGGAAGGAGGAAGGAGGAAGAAGGAGGAAGAGGAGGAAAAAGGAGGAGGAGGAGGAGGAGGAGGAGGAGGAGGAGGAGGAGGAGGAGAGGAGGACAAGGAGGAGGAAGAAGAAAGTAGAAAGAATTATTAGACCTGATATCAGATTTATTGCAAAACCAGAGCAATTGAGACAGTGCATATGAGTGCAAAGACCCATAATTAAACCAGTGGAATAACAAAGAGATTTCACAACTAAAACCACCCCCACAAATACCTGATTTAATGACAAAAGTGTCACTGCAGAGCATGGAGACAAGGATAGGCTGTTCAATAAATGATGTGCTGTCAATGGAATATCCATAGGAGAAAAAAGTAGAACTTAACCCCTTTCTCAGACTATGCACAAGAATCGACTCCAAATGAATTGCAGATCTAACTGTGTAAAGTAACACAATAAAGTTTCTAGAAGAGAAAGTAGAATATTTTCATGACCTTGGGACAGGGTGGATTTCTAAAGATTGATATTAAACTTTGTTAAAATTATTAACATCTAGGATTGTTACTAAATATTTTACAGTTATGATAATAGAGGAAACTGATGGGTAAACCAAGCAAAACAGTATCTACCACATGCTATTAATGTTTTCAATTTGAATTTTAAAAATTTATTTTGGTTTTGTAACGATATATGAGTTATATGCACAATGACTATAGTAGGTTTATGGTGGGCTTGATAATTTACATTTCTAACAAGTTCCCAAGTGATGCTGCTGGTCTGATAACCACACTTTGAGAACCACTGCTCACACTGAACTATCAAGTTACCTTGATTTACTCACCCCCAGATTGGTGTGGGGCAGCCTGCAAAATGATTTCTTTCTAAGCTCCCAAATATTAAATGGGGCTATGTCCTCTCTACTCTTGTCCCTCTTCCTGGGTCTTTCCCATCTTTCCACAATCTCCTGGGGACGGATATGCTAGGTTTTATTATTGGTGATGATTTTGCTCTTTTCTCCCCCTTTTC